AAAGATGGATGGGGCAAAATACCTTTAAATTCTTGAGGTAAATTTGCTGCCCTCTGCCAGAAAATTGTCAATGGGAAGAAGGTTTACCTTCCAACATGACAATGACCCAAAACACAGCAAAAGAGAAAAAGGTGAGTGTCCTTGCATGGCCTAGTCAGAGCCCAGACTTAAACCCCATTGAAAATCTGTGGAATGATTTGAAGACTGCAGTCCACAAACGCTCACCATCAAATTTAATTGAACTTGAGCAGTTCTGCAAAGAGTGGGCAAATATTGCAAAGTCTAGATGTGCAAAGTTAGTAGAGACAAATCCCAACAGACTAAAGGCTGTAATTAAAGCAAAAGGGGGGTGATCCTTTTTCCAACTCAGTGATTGTTTTTTTATTTTATTTTTTTCTGACATGTTGGTGTTATATTTTTCACTTGGATGTTACCACTGAAGTGCACATCTGTGCTGCAAACTTGTACTAAAACCTAAGTTCACTCAATGTGTGTAACAGCTGTCATTTTAAATGGCTGATCATGCCTTATGAGTCTTTTACACAGACTGTGTTTGAATTCGATTACACTGCTTTTCCATAGTTTTTCTGTGTAAACATGCACTGGGCGGATGTATTTGTCCATTGCATTTGAGTCTCGTACATGACAGAACCATTCTAAAAACTCTGCGCTCTACTTAAAAGCACTTCAGCTTTAAACAAACATGTTCTTTGTAAATGGCTCTTTAGTGTAAATGGCTTTTTAGTTAACATTTTCTGTATTATTTTTTTTTTCAATAGCAAGTGTCCATCTGCCTCGGATTGGTCACTCCACTAAAGGCTTCAACTGGTATGGTACAGAGAGACTAATTCGCAAGCACCTGGCTACCAAAGGCATCTCCACATTTATGTATCCTACCCGAAAAGAACTGAAAAAATTATTCTAATTTTTTTAGAAACTGCATGCTAGTAAAAACAGCTCAATAACAAAATAAACACAACAAAAAGGACAGTGATGGGCAAACAGCAGTGAAGAAAGCATCTAATAATAGTGATGTGGATATGTTTGCACAAGCTCTACAGTTTGGCCCTCCAGTCAAATCTCGTCACATTTATTTATATAGCACTAAATAAAATTGATTGCTTTAAAGCAAGCATCTTTACGGTATTAAACCTGAAAAAACAATGTAAGCGTCACTTTCAATTAGAATTACAACTTCAATTTTACTACGAAACAGCTCTCCAGTGTGTTGATGTTTTTACCTGACCTTGACAGACTGAACAGAAGAAATAAACCAGAGAAGATTTTCATGCCACAAAAGGGGGAGCCCCAGAGCACAGCTACCTGTTACGTAATTGCCATAGACTAATGGTAGTTCAAAGGTGGTAATCAGCCATAGCAAAATTTTCTGGAAATAAACAGTTTTGAACTCCCGAAACGAACTCTAAACAAACTTAGTTTTTGCCTGATTTTGCTTTCGATTTTGTTTTCGACAAAAAATTTTTTGTTTGAATTTATATTGAGCCTTTAGAAACAGCAGTGAGTATCTTTTGTTATCCTGGACTTGTTTTTCAGCTACTATTATAAAGGAGCCACTTCACACTCTTCTACAGTTTCTTCCCCCACATGCACAACTACTCCATCAACCTCACACTCAGCCTCAGACCCAGCAGCATTCTCGCCATCTGGGTCCCTACACTCCTCCAGTCCCCTTGGTAACAGTGAAGACCTTACAAAGTCACAAACTCTCCACTATATCACATCAAGGTCAAGGCGCACCAGGACTGGCTGATTTCATGAGAGGTGTTCATGTATATTTCTACAACATAGCTGCTACATAGAAGAAGCAGCTCACCCGCTACCTTATCGCATATCCTTTCACATTTTTTACTGTCAAATAATTTACAAACACGACTCGGTTCTTTAGAATAATTGAAAAGAATCTGCTCAAAAGAATCACGTTTTGTCGAAATGGATAAACAACCGCTCTGAGTCGAGGATGTTCTGGGAAGTGGGCGGAATATGTGGTGTGAATAGGCAGGTGTTGCAAAACTTCCAAACAGTATGTACTTCGACTGCTACAGTTCGTGCGATCATGATATTGTACACTGATATTAAAGTATTCGAAATTAAATAATTCACGCGACTAAATCTGCTGATCAGCCTACAGGTATGTACGTGTTTTATGTGGTTTGTCACGACAGCGAGCAGTTTGTCACGGACAACGTTGACGTAATTTGTCGAATAAGTCATGAGAGCTGGGTGGGAGTTTTATACGTGTTGTCTTTATTATATTGTATTTAGCTTTTTTTCTTAGTTTTGGGAGGTGTTACCTGTAAAGTAATATGGTACAAACTACAAAGATAGAGCGAATTGTGAGACATTTTTTAGCCGAGTATTGTATGTTATGTAGCCCCGCGGCAGTGATAGTTTTAAAGCGTGAACTAGACACGTTGCGAATTTGGACGAAATGTTTACAAAATACTGTTTAAAAAGTACTATTGTTATTGTTAAGAAAATAAATGTCTACTAGAATATCCTATTTAATGTATTATGATATAGTAATTACAGTATTTTGACGGAAACCGTTTACTGCTGCTAAAATTTTATGAGAGTGTGAAGGTACAGTATACTTTAATACTTTCATTCATACTTTTTAATTAAACCAATGAATTATCTACTGTACAACTATTCATAAAGGAGAATTACATGATTTAACTTTGCATCTCAGCGGCGTCACTATCTTAAGTGTTCTAGTCAATGAAGAGATTATTGTATTATGTCTTTTTTGAGGTTTTCAGTGTTATGCCAATAAAAGGCATTAGGTAAGTATTAGTACCCTCTCTGCCCCATTTGTGCATTTGATATTGATGGCCTTAGTTACCTGTGATTTCCCATGTCTCACTTTGGTTTCCACTGAGGTGTTTTCCGCTGATGGTGTAAAGTGCACTAAATTTCATACTGTAAGTTCAGAGAAAAAGCTAGAGAGAGAGAGAAAAAATCCCCTTAGCAGAATTGTGGGTTTCTGTATTCAGTAGCCAAAGGTTGCTCGTTTTTCTCAAATGCAGTTTTATTTAACAGGGTGTGATCATCATTCGAGGTTACTTGTGTTCATATCTTAATAATTCATTACAGATTTGTGTGCTGACTGGGGATATGGAATGGCTGCAGCTTTTTTGTATTAGGCACAAGAATGATGCCTTCTTCGCAGCGCTTGCAATATAGGTAAATTATACATCTAATAATAACAGAAACGTTATTAAGGTACTCTATATGGACAACAGTATTGGAACACAAACTCATAATTATTGTATTCAGGTGTTTCAATCAGACCCATTGCCCCAGTGTATTAAAATCAAGCACCCATTCTGCATACAAATATTTGTGAAAAAAAATGGGTCATTCTGAAGAGCACAGTGAATTTAAGTTGCGATAAATCAGTTGGTGAAATTTCATCCCTGCTAGATTATCGACGGTCAACTGTAAATGGTATTATTTTAAATCAGAAGCTTTTAGGAACAGCTGCCATGAAGCAGAAGACTGCGTAAAGCCACAGAGCGCGGTCATCGAATGCTGAGGCGCGTGGTGCATGAAAGTCACCAACACTGTGCTCATTTCATAGTTGATGAGGTCAGTGGTTGGATGATTTTGGCATGGAAGAACTTGACTGGCCCACACAGAGTCCTAACCCCATCGAATACTGTTGGGATGAACTGGAATGGAGTTTAGAGCCAGGCCTTCTCGTCCCACATCAGTGCCTGACCTCACAAATGCTCTATGAATGGGATGAATTGGAAAATTGAATTGAATTGAAACACTTCAAAATCTTGTGGAAAGCCTTCCCAGAAGAATGGAAGCTGTTATGTAGATGGTCCCCCCCATTGCACATATATTTATGTCTATGTATTTAGAATGCAATGTTATTAAAGTCCCTGGTGGTGTAATGGTCAGGTTTCCCAATACTTTTGTCCATATAGTGCAGGGGTGTAAAACTCAATTCCTGGAGGCCCGGAGCCCTGCAGAGTTTCGTTCCAACCCTGCTCCAACACACATACCATGTAGTTTTCAAATAAGACTGAAGGACTTGATTAGTTGGTTCAGGTGTGTTTAATTAGGGTTGAATCTAAACTCTGCAGGGCTCCGGCCCTTCAGGAATTAAGTTTGACACCCCTGATATGGTGTATGTTTGTTCAATTTTATATATATATTTATATTTATATATATATTTTTTCAAAGCCAGTTTGCGGCAGACCAAATTTAATTTGCTTAGTAAAACCAGTTTTTACTAGCATTTGGCAACTTCCCAGTGTTAGTTTTGGACCCTGTATATTTAACGTTTTAAACATAGAATTATTGTTTCCTATTCTTGTATTGTTGTATTTATGCCCCTTAGATAAATAAAAAAAAATTTTTGCGTAGTTTTGAAAACAAATAACACGCACTTCCGGAGCTTGCAGGTTTCTTAATACAAGGCTCAAACAAAAAGATATTTTAACTGTCATTTAAAAAAATAATTTATAGATATTGTTAATATTGTTTTATTCTGTTTTCTTTATTGTAATGCCTTCAAAAGAAAATTAACAGATTAACATAAATATATTTGCATTGTCATGAAATGTCTTTACATTTTTATTTTAATCATTTATTTTACATATTTGAAATCATATTTACTGTGACAATTGCAGTTAAAATGTTTCTAATCTAATAGTGATCAGAAAAAAAAAGATACACTGTCAACTTACAGATATTTTAGTACAATGAATATATAAAAATACAAGTTAAGTTTGAAAGGTATTAAACCACACGTAAATGATCCAGGAATATAAATATAGCAACAACACAGCTCTTTCCCAAACTCACACTGGCAGTGGGGCGGGCAATCTTTATTTATTGCCCTGTTTATTCAAACATTTTGGTCTGACGGGCTTATTCTGGCACCAGTTGTTTTTAAAAATGCCTAAAGGTTTTTTTTGGCTTAAACTGCTGTTTCAATAAATATTAAGAAATCTGCTAGCTACCGTAATTTATTAGGATATGTTTTTTGGTCTTGTTAATTTTCAAATGTAAATTTTTCCACATACTGTAAGAGTACTCAAGAACTCTCCCTCTCCCCTCATTTTCTAGATATATTTCTCCATTTGGCCACCACAGTTTACAATCCCTCAATTTTCCAGAAGAGAACGACGAGGCTATGGAGAAAATCATTACTGAGGACTCCATCTGTGTCTCAAACTCCACCGATTCCCAACTCTCTCATGCCGACTGTTGCATGTCTGGAAATGAGTCCTCTTTGAGTGCACAGACTGACTTCACAGATAGCTGCAGAGACAGAAAGACCAACTACAGATCCACACAGACCAGCTACAGCCCTTACCAGCCCCCGCTAGGTCTACCCTCTGGCTACAGTCCCCAGACACCTTTTCCTAGTCAGACGGAAGCATGTCTGAGCACCCTAGAGCCGCACAACGGGGACCTGCTCCACTCGAGTTCCGTGGGCAGTGGTTCTGTGGAATACCCTAGTGGCAACCTCCCCTCTTGCTTAGTGTCTGGAAATTACTGCAGTTATTCTGGTAATTCCAGCTACTCTTGCTCTCCAGACAGGCACAGTCTGGGAGAGGGAAGTCTAGAACAGCCGCGTTCACTACACTCTATCCCAAATGCGTTCGCTCCTCACAGCTACTGCATGCCCCCACACCCCTGCGTGTCCCGCGGGCCGCCCTGCTGTAGTCAATACCCTGTAGATGTGTATCAAATGGATCAGGGCTCTTATTACAGGCCACATTACCACATGCCCTGTTGGCCTTCAAGTAAGTCTCAGTTCTTTGTTAAAATTCTCTGTCTCTTATGAATGACTCATAAGTGAGTCAGTTTCTTTCATTTACATGGAACTTAATTTGTCAGTCAAGGCTCATGATGAATAATGCTAACTTTCATAAGCCTATTGTCATTAAAATTGCCTCACTGTATGTGATGAGTTCTTTATCAACCTTGCAGGACATTTATCCAACCTGTTCCAACCAGATAAATTGCAATAAATTTGTGCAATCATACTGTCAGATTAAGCAACCAATTTCCATTTTTAGAAGTGACACCCATCTTAGAAGATGAAACATCTAAATATAAGGATTACAAAACTACACTTTGAAGCTAATTCACTAAGCATTGCATATTTTGAAATGCAAACTGTAAAGTACAGTATAAACATAGCTGCATTGGCGACGTCTTTCCTTGCAATACTCTCTTAATTGCATAATAAAAAAATCGACACATGGTATAAATTCCTGCTTTAATAAACCTTAGTATATATATGTAGGTATATCTTACTGTCCATTGAGAGTCCATCTAACATGTACTTTGGGTGGCTTTTAAAATTTAGTTGAAAGCTGATTGGATGACCCTACTAAATGACCAATGCCATTTTTTTTACTCAATTAACAAATGGATAAGAAAAAGCATTTGATAAAACTTCAAAGAAAGCAATTGGCAAAATCCAGTTTACAATGTGTATTAACAATTCCTTTTAACTTACAATTTTTTGTATTATTTAACTACATTTTAAAACACAAATAGTTTTCATGTCAATTTATTTTCCCACTTAAAAATTATTTATTAATTTATTGTTTCATTAACTGCATTTTAAAACATGAATTAAATAAACACTTTTAAATATGTCTATTACTTTGTCCATTTAAAAAGTAGTTTCATTTATAAAATTGATAACTTATTGCTTCATTTTATTTTTAAATGTCACTCCTAATCCTTCATAGATTTTTGTTTGGCACAGTTTATGTTGAGCTATTACTACACACAAAAGGCAGGGGGTAAATGTAATTTTACTAAAAAAGAAATGTTAGTGTACATTTTTAGTGAACATGGCAGCAGTAATTCATCAAATATGGAAATGCATATTATAAACGGGCATGTATACACATTAAAAATATTTTACTTGATCTGTAAAGTGTAAAAAGTCTAAAGTGTAACTCAAATTATTAGGTTGATCCAATTATATGAAATAATATTTTTTGTCTTTACCAACTGGACAAGTATAGCAAAAACAACCAGGGAAGCACGAAACTTATGCGAGAATGAATTTAATTTGATTACATTTAGCATAAACAGCAACTGATAATGTATTAACAGTAACAAGGTCATGTCAGTTGAGGCTTGTGCAGCCTGTCTGTGTGTGAGAGAGATCAAAACAAATGAGCGCACACCAAGAAACTCATACAACAAGCATACCATGGTAAAAATTCTAAAAAGGGGTCCTATTATGCTCTTTTACAAAGTCTTGATTTTGTTTTGGGGGTGTACTAGAACAGGCTGTCATACTAGGTTGTTCGAAAAACACATTATTTTTTCACATATTTTACATTATTACAACTAAAGTTGAAAAAGTGAAAAAGCATAATAGGACCCCTTTAATGTTGTATTTGTATGTATAACATTTGATATCACAGATATGTTTAAGTAAGTAAGAGCTATTACATTTACACCATTTTCTTTTCTTGACAAGTAACTTTTTTAGCATGTCGAGGCCTGTGTAGATTAATGTCTCACTTCATCATTTCATCTCCAACAGGCCCTGAAAACAGCAGACAATCAGCCTCGGAGTTCACTTATAGGTAATGTGTAATAGTAGTGAGTTTTTTTCTGTACAATTAATATGGGACAGCCAGTCTTGTACAGTGCGTGCATAATTATTAGGCACGTTGATGTTCTGATCATATTTTTTTCCAAGCACATTTTACCAATTCCAAACCACATCAATCTTAATAATTACTATTCATTTTGTATTTGATCATTTATAAGTGATATATAATATTCCATGAAGGCTGGAAGTGAAAAACTCATATTCAGATGTGCATAATTATTAGGCAGGTTTTCTTTTACAGATAAAATGATGCAAAAAAGAGGTTTAACTCAGACTAAAAGTCAAAAATTATTAAATGCCCATGAGAATGATGCAATACTAGAACTTGCAAAGTTAAGGCATAACCATTGGAGAGCAAAATGCTCATTGGGTCAGCAGGGTCAGAAAAAACAGGTGGAGAAGAAAAGAGACATGTTAACTGCAAAAGAATTAAGAATTAAGGTGAAGAATTAGGTGTGAAACCATCAGGAACCATTTAGTCTCCAGCACCACCATTTTCCAAAACTACAACCTACCTGGAGTCTCCAGAAGTGCAATGTGTCAGCTTCTCAGAGACTTTGCTTGGGTACAAAATCCTAAAAAAAATGACCCTCACTTAATAAGAATAACATGCTGAAGTGTTGTGAAATACATGAAGACTGTTTTTTTTATAGGCTTTACAGACCGATAAGTTGAGAGTGACTCTTGAAGGACCAGCATCATATCCTCTTGTGCCACTCTTTCAAGAATTTATCTTCCAGAATCTGGCAGTCTCATGGGCATTTAATAATCTCTTCTTTGCATCATTTTATCTGTAAAAGAAAATCTGCCTAATAATTATGCACACCTGGATATAAGGAATTTTTCACTTCTAGCCTTCATGGACAATTGTATATCACCTGATCAAATACAAAATTAATAGTAGTTATTTGGTTTGGAATTGGTAAAATGTGCTTGGAAAAAAAATATGATTCAGAATATCAACGTGCCTAATAATTATGCACGCACTGTATTGTATTGTAAGTGATTTCATAGGTTTCTGATTTTCACTGATACAAAAAATTTAGCTTTCTGAGGTATATATGCAATGCTTTCATGTCTTCCAGTGGCCACACCTCTCCTCACCCTCGAGCTAAACTAACCCCAAGCACAGCCCCTCTATCCCTGGAGCAGAGTAAGTGTACACACTATTGTTGAGCAACACTGAAAGAATGTCAAATCTGAATAAGATGTATGTGCCAGTAACATCAGACTATAATAAAGAAATGGCAGTTCTTGTTAACTAAATGTTATCTGTTCTTCTTCAAAGTCGTGTGATTAAAAAGTGTTTATCAAAAAGTGTTTATGTGGTAAAACTGCTATATGCAAGTAGATGAAGTTTAGTTCATGGTACTTTAATATTTGTATTTGGTTTTTTTTTCAAAAAATGATTCCCTTTAAATACTGTACTTTCACTAATATATAATAATATAATATAATCTTGAGTTATATTTCTGGAGGAAATGTTGTTGTTGTTTTTTTCATTATTGCAGGGAAGGTGTTTGTTACTTACGAAGCAGACAGTGAAAAACATGTCAAAGAGATCATTAACTTTGTTGCCCTACTGAGACACAACGGCTTCTACACTCATGTAAGACAAGCAACCTGTACCAGACATTGCCTTGCAGCCATACGTGTCACCTGATATGGGGTCTGCCAGAGAGTATGTTCAGTCTCTTTGTTCTTTTTGCACAGATTGACATGTTTGAACAACAGTTCAAGAGCATAAGCAAGATTGACTTCATGGAGAGATACATCAGCGAAGTAAGTAGAATCCAGGCCTGCTAGTATTTCAGAGAGCATGTTATTCCTAGTTTGACTTACACAACAGAAGTTCTAGTCCAAATTGCAGCTTATTCTGACCAAGAACCACTTGCAGGAAAAGATTGTATGACTGAAAACTCTAAAGCAACCCAAACTGTTTTGTTTTTGCAGTACATGGCATTTAGGTGCTGGTTTATTTGAAAAAGATGATATCACAATAATAGAGTGAAAAAAACAAGTGTGAAATTTTTTTTTTAATTGCATGACAGTCTCTGCAGACTTTTTAACAGAAAACACTAGAAAAAGAGTGGAAAATGTGTGTAGACTGTGAGGAGAGTGGTGATTTTTCGAAAGTCATTCATGATTTGGTGCTCAAATGGTTCTTATTATTATCATTGTTGAAAACTGTTATTGTTGCTTAATATTTTTGTGGAAATGGTGATGCGTTTTTTAGGATTCTTTTATTAAGAGAAGGTTCAACTGCATTTATTTGAAATAGAAATCTTTTGTAACATTATAAATGTCTTTACTGTCACTTTTGATCAATTTAATGCATCCTTGCTGAATAAAAATGTTGATTGATTAATTTTTCTTTCTTTCTTTCTTTCTTTCTTTCTTTCTAATGTACTTAGTACTTACCCCAGACATTTGAATGCTAGTGTATCATGGTTTCCACAAAATATTAAGCAGCAAAACTGTTTTCAACATTGATAATAATAAGAAATGTTTATTGAGCACCAAATCAGCAAATTATAATAGCATATTTAGAAATATTCATTATATTCAGAAGATATATTCAAATATAAAACATTAAAATATTACAAAACATAAAAAAATCTTATTTATTCTGATCATTAATCTTACTCGTCTTATTTAATCTTATTAATCTTCTGATTAAAACAAATCATTGTAGGAGAGTTTTAAATTTAATGTGTGTGAATGGCTAGTGCTTCTTTGCTTCTTCTCAGTGTAAATAAACTTTGAGTTTGCAATCATTTTTCATTTTCTTTTCCTTTTTTACTTTTTTTTTCCTGAATAGACTTTCACTGCATGTATCCCTGGCTTCTAAAAAGTCAAATGTTATTTCTAATATATCATCAAAGACATGGCAATCTCTGTAACCTCTTAAATAGAACAGGGCACAGCTGGGAAAACTTGTTCAAACTTCTCCATTGTTGAGGATGTCTTCAGCTCTCACAAATTTCAAATTTTTTTGTTCATTGACATTATATGTCTGATAAAATGTCAAAATGATAAATGGCAAGGATTGACCCTGACTTATAGTTGAACATACTATATTTACTTCTGAATGCATAGAACCAGTTTGAGCTTGGAAGTTGGACATCATTTATTTATCTGACCGATGTTTAAGAAAGCATGATAGCAGGAAACAGTCCAACAAAACTTTAAATTTTATGCGTTTTGAGGGGGAGGAAAAGAGACCATTTAATAAAAAAAGCATGTAACCCTGAAACATCATTTTAATTAAGAGCTGAAGTGGGCGAGGACATATTTCTGGCATCATTTTCTTGCAGTGCCACACAGTTACAAGAAAACTGCTGCACTGAGAACGATAAACCTTTCATGACTAATTTCAGTTGATTTTTTTTTCCTGAGTATCTGAATTTTCTTGATTAATTGTTCCCTCATGTCCATTCAGTTGTCTAATTTTGTGTGTTTGTGTTTTTTATGCACAGAAAGACTATCTGATCATCATAGTCATTAGTCCAAAGTACCATGAGATTGTGACCAATGCCTCGTTTTGCATGGAAAATGATGAAACACTCAACACTGTCTACATACACAAGCAGGTACAACTTGGGTGGAAAAGAATCTAGGTTTTTCTTAATTTTTTTTGTCTAATGACTCATAAAAACGCTTTGTCTTTTAGTTACAAAACGAGTTCATTCAGAACGGTGCCAGGAATTACAGATTCATCCCCATCTTGTTTCCTGGTGCCAAGAAGGTAAAACTGCATCTCTTTCCAGTAACGTATAAACGTAATTGCTTAACGAACAGGATGTTTGTGTTTGAACAAGTACTCGATCAAGGAGCCAGAATGCTCATTTGTGATTAACTGTTATGATAACAGCAACAAACATTTGTGTTTGCTCCATTGGATTCCACTTGAATCCAATTAGATGTAATGATGCCTCGTTGTTACAACATTTATTTGTCTGCTTCTTTCTGTCAGTGCCACGTCCCTTCATGGCTTCAAAGCACACAAATCTTCACCTGGCCCAGAGACCGTGATGACATTCTTCGTCGACTCATGCGTGTTGAGAAGTACAACCCTCCACCCATCGGAGAGCTGCCCACTATTGTCTCCATCCCAATTTAGGTGGTTAAGTTTGCTTCTGTATGTACATGCTTCTGTATGTTACATGAGTTTGAGTGCCATGATTTTTGAAGTTAGCTCAGCTACCAACTTGAACTTGTTGCGAAATCTGCATGGGGAAATGTTTTGCTCCATGTCAGGTTCCGGATCTTGTGGATTTCTATTGAAATGACTGGATTTTTCCACAAACATTCGACGAACAATAATAAATGTGACAGCATTTTTGGACTTAATGAAACTTTCTGTAACATACCCAATTGCTATATAAAAAAGATTTTAAGATAGAATTACTAAAGTAGACCAGAAATCTTCAGATGCAAACATTTTCGCATGCTTCTTGCTGTTGTGAGAACCTGAAAGAAGCCGGTACTACAGTATCATCACACACTGTATAGTTTATTATAACAAACGACTTGTGTGTTGTGCCTTAGAACTTCCATTCGAGTCATTAGTAATGTGCCAGATTTTTTATTTTTTTTTATTGTCAACATCACATGGAGATTTCATGGCCATTCATGTTCTTAGATGATTGTGGCTTCTTCCTTTTATTAAATGAAAGAATTCAGATGGTTTGTTATACAACTTGTACAAGAATAGACATCATAGGCTTTGGAGGGACAAAAGTACAAGTCATCTCAACTCAACCTTTTTTGTAGAGCACATTTAAAAAGAAGAGTTAAACCAAATGCTTTACAGTACAAACTCAGTCAAAATAACTACAATCACAGAATAATATATATGAGCAATATCACAAGAGTAGCAGTGTCGTAGTTAATCGCAGCGTGCCAATATACAGCCATATCGCAGGGCTACGAGTGTGATATTGCGTTTATACCACAGTTTGATGGCATGAGTGTGTAAATACATAAGAAACAACGGAGTGTCTTTAAAAACCCTCTTTTGTGCGCAACTACTTCCTTCCGCCACGATACAAATCTCAAGTTGACAGTTTAACAGCTGAGCTCAAGCTTCCGTTACTAATTCGAAACCGTCACTTTAGAACAAAAGAAGGAACGTTGAGTTGCTTCATTGAAAACATATTGTATTACGGTATTAAAAGCTCAATGTATTATGTAGAGTAGACAAGAGAGAGATGGACTGAGCGAGTGTGACTACCTGCATCTGATACAGCATTCATTCTTCTTCAGCTCATCTCATATTCAAAATGAAACATGTAAAAACGATATCTTTGTCGTACTATCCTTTTATTTGTTAAGGGTGATCTCAGATAACAGCGGTGCTCAGTGCATTTGTTGGATGCGTCTAATAAGGTGTTGTTGAAAGTAAAAATAGCTTCAGTTTACAACCCTGTTTCAAGTCTTTACTGCTGAGTCTCTTGTCGCAATCTAATGGCGGAACAATGTAACTAATCACCATCATGGACACACACACACCGTTTCCCAATACTAAATACTACTATTATTTATTTAAAATATTGTTCATTGAATAATGATATAAACATCAACAGCCATCATAAAAGTTGCCAGGCAATTCAGTCAAAAGTACTAAGGCAGCGCTCTGATATAGCTACAGCTTTAAAGTTACATAAAAAAAAATAACTTGATGAGATTTTTCCCTCAGCCAAAACTATTTGCTCTGGAAAGAATAATAGATTAATGAGACCAAGACTGTCCATTAGATTTACCCCAAACGAATTAGATCTCGTGTTTAACCACTATAGAGAAATCAGAGCCAGCTGCAAATTCCAGAAGATCTGGCCGAGGTAAGACTGCTCTCGGTGGGTTCATGAGCGCTGAACAGCCGCTGACGCCCTGGAGCTCACATCTCCGAAATCATCGAAGCAAACTTTCAAATGGACAGTATCTTTATTAACAAATCGCATATTTTAAGTCTAAACAAGTAAAAAAAACTCTTAAAACTACATTCTGTGACACAAACAGAAACAGTATTGTTTATACAATTATAATGGATTTGGGCGTCAGCTATGACGCTGTGAGAAATACCGCAAATGGAGTGATACAAAGGGTGAAACGGTTGAAGCTCTGTTATCACTAGAATATCGCACTCCTGCAAAAGGCTCTCAGCCAATCGGATTCGAAGACCAGAAAGAACTGTTAAAAAAAGTACCAATCCACCTTATTTTTCCGCAAGAGCGGGCGTGGCCATTTGTAAATTTAATGTGTCTGGCTTCCGGTGTCATCCATACAGCTATTTTTAGCTTTACAAAACAGCTAGTTTTGCTGCTTGATATCTTTTCTTACCATATTATTTTAATCTATTGTCTTAATTATTAACACACTGGGTTGTAGCACAAACAATTTTACCATTTATTGCACTTTGTTATTCTTGTCGTTATTTCCATACCACGGCTAATGAAGCGGAAGTCTCGCACATTCACAGAAAACAGCTTACTTCCGCATTGAAAAACAAGGTGGATACATAAATGTAAAAATGCTAGGAATAGAATAATAGAAAAATATGTTTTCAAAGAAGCTTTTAAAATGTCTAGCGACGAGGGCGATCTTACTTGAAGTGGGAGTTTGTTCCAAAGTTTAGGGCCTATAGAAATGCATGCACAGTTTAATGTTGTGTGGTATTGAATGCACTGTTGTTGGTTCAAACAAAGAAAATGAATTGAGTTGAAGATGATTGAGATTTCATTGATTAGATAACAATGTGTGTGTGTGTGTGTGTGTGTGTGTGTGTATGAATGCATGTTTATGTAATTGCAGTTGCCTAAAAAAAGGTTGAATGCTATATGCTTTGCCAGAAAATATGGCATGAAGTGCAGAACAATACCTGCATGAGGCTATTGCCACATGCAAGACTCAAAATTCCTCACTCCCATAGTCTTTCATTTCTAAAAAATAAACGCTGTATTCCCATCTAACTGCCTAATACAGGTCCACACAGACTTTTATTTAAAACCAATGGAATTTGCGGTTGAGCGACCAGGCTTGAGTGATTTTACGCCGGCACACATCCCGCATGCCTCATTTGATCTGCCAGTGTGCGTTACATGCGAGGATCACCGCCCCTTGTTACACCGAGCGGCTCAATCCTTCTAGGCGATCGAAATGGAATGCTGTCACTGACAGCTTCGCATTTGTATGTGCATCGCGGAGGCTGCGCTCACTGAGACGGGCTGCTATAACTAAGGAAAACGGGAGTCTACCCCTGCTCCCATGTTTCTCCCCTCCCAGTTACCTCGGAGAAGGAAACAGCGAACGCGTGGGTTTGAGCGATCGGGCCTGAGTGATTTTCACGCCGGCACAACTCCCGCGTGCGTCACTCTCCACGCAGCCCTTTGATCTGCCGGTGTGTTTACACGTGACGATCGACGCCCTCGCTTCGTCGAGCGGCTCAATTCTTCTAGGCGGATCTGAATAGAACCCTGTTACCAATGATTTCATATCGCTGACTTGGATTTAGACTTAGAATTTTGGAGCAGGCAGTCAGAACAACTTTTTATATGCTTTGATGGCTGCACCAAAAGGCTTCCGGTCACTAAGCAGAGACTCTCCAGGTGGATAGTTGACGCTATTGCGCTAGCATACGCCTCTTTGGGCCTACACTGCCCCATGGGAGTAAAGAGCCAATTCGACTAGAGGTATGGCCTCGTCTTGGGCATGGTCTAGCGGTGTGTCCATTGCAGAAATCTGCGCGGTTGCCGGCTGGGCCTTGCCGTCCACATTTGCCAGGTTCTATAATCTGGACGTCCTTTCTGCGTAATGGGCTCATTCTTGCCTTAGGGCAATACCAGTGAAGTAAACATATATCAAGACACCTGTCAAAACTTGTCAAAATCTCTCAAACAACTGTCAGGATGGAATATCAGAGAACTCCATTTAGTGAGTCTTCAAGGAGCTACTGAAGGTTAATTAAGCCCCATTAAACAAAGTATAACCCTTCCTATTGAGGCTTACCAGGAATTAATTATTATAAATCAGCCGTAACAATATAATCAAGAGGATTTGGTCATAGAGAGACTGACATAATCCTCATATGAACAATATTAGCAGTATCCAAAAATGATTTGTTGAGGAGAAATGGTTATCAGTTTGTAATTAAAATGAGATGAGAAATAGAATGATTGATTACTCAACGCAGTGACAGAAAAGGTTATGGGAACAGGATCTCTAACATAGTCTTTTTATAGCTGGTTAATTTCTAGATTAAACAAGTTAATTCCAGGAATATGTCATCCATCAACTGTCTGCACCACAGCTCTGTGAAATATTTTGAAGGCTTGTCGGTGACAATATGAAGTGACAGTGTTTTCTTCACCTTCATTTTGGAAAATCTACAGAGTTCAATCATCAACTGCAGGATAAAACTGCTGGCGTTTGCTTTGTTGTGCCTTAAGATGGCACTCTTTACATGTGCTATTAGAGGTTCAATAAGAAATCTGATAGTAGGCCTACTTTCTAATATATATATATATATATATATATATATATATTACCTTATAGTGTTATCAGAAAAAGCATTTTTATAATTTTTATCCAGGAATAAAGAACACAACAGCAGGTCAGGTTGTCACTTTATTTATTTATTTTAACTGACATGAAGTCCATCTTCCCTATGCTTTAAATGTACATTAAAATATGACTATATCTGAACATCTTTACATTCACGTTCAATGACTTTTGTAATTATTACAAGTAGAAAAACTGAAATAGTGTTTTCTTGGAACTCAAATAATTTTTTTGCAACTTTGAAAAAGCATTTTTTATTATCAAAATCCTTTTCATTTTTAGCCAGTGCAGTTGAGATAATAGCTATTTTTCTCAATTAAAAATGCATTAATGTTCAATGGCTTTTGTAATTATTGAAACTATTTGTTCTTTTAAGCATTATTTTATGTTATAGCCTAATGTTTCTGTGGAATGTTATTATGGAAGTTTATTATAAAGTATTACCATAATCTTAAGTTTTCACCAACACGAGAGATCATTTGTTTTTCAATTAGGTAAAATATATTATTATTTTTTATTTTTTTGGTCCTCCAGTTACACTATAGTCCACTGTGGGGCAAAAAAACAAAGGTATAAAGGTAATATTTAATTTTCCTTTCTAATAACAAATCATACTGCTGGGGGGGAAACAATGTTACTGTACATTAGCATTCGGACCTAATTAGAAAATAATCCATAATAAAAGAATCTGCATTTCCGTGGCAGTCCTTTAGGGGGCAGTATCTCACCAGGTCTTTGTTTCAGATAGTTTTTCAGTTCCACCCAGAATTGAAGGTTTCACACATTCTATTTTTACACTGCTGAATAATTCAATACAGAGCCATATATGATCAGTGACATTTCCTCTTTTCTAGCAGTCTGACAATGGGGTTGCATCACTTGATCCTCGATGTGGAGTCTAGAAAGTGATATACAGCTGTGAAACTATGAATAGCTTTGTTCTAGGACACAAAATGACATTAATGAATATACAAACGATGACCTAAAAACCACCCTCCATTTTCAACTTCAATTGACTCTCTGTTTACGGAGATGATATAATGATGCGAAATGATGCTGTCATAATAGATTTCTTTGAGCATGTTCTGTAACGGTCCATTGCCATGCTCCTAAACCCCCACGTAGA